GTTTTTGTTTATTATTTGAAATTTATAGAGCAATGGAAACATGTAATCCAGATACATTTCGTCTTTTAGCAAATACTTATCATGATTTATTATCATATGAAAAATCACTCGACTTTCTTATTGAACTTTTACAAAAAGATCAAATACATGATTCAATATCATTAAGTTCTTTAGATAAAACAATAATATTTTATGAAGTAATTTATTTTTTACTTGCTCGTTGTTTATTTGAATTAATTCGATTTCATTTTAGCATGTTTATAAAAATTATTTAAATCAAGAAAAATTTTCCATGTCAAACTATATGCGAGATCTAGCACGTGTTGTCTTATTAAGTAGTGATGCACTTCAAACAGATATTCAACGTATACAACTTTTACAAAAGGTAAAAAATAAAGTTTTGTCAGTAATGAAATTAAATATAGATTTTACATTGAAATATAGGAACATGGACAGGTAAAAATACTAAATGCATGAGGGATATTTTTATTAGTAAGATGTATTGCATGAACATTGTATTGCTACTTTATTCGTTATTCAATATTATATTAGTTCTTAATTTTAACAGTCAATTATAAAGTACTTGCCAATTAGAAATTTAGTTGTTTATGGGTTTTCTTGTTCTTTTTCTATCGCTTTTATAGAATCAGCGAAAAATTCTATGACGGAATATCGTTGCAAAAGTAGTCCTCAGGATGTTGTTAAGACTTGCTATCAATAAAAAGAAAAACAGAATCGACATCTTTCATAGTCTGTAAAAGACTAGTTCAACTTGTCACAATAAAATAAATTGAAATTGAAATGGAGAGCGCCTCTATTCCAAAAATATTATACACATCATTTTATTCGAAACTCAAACTCTACTCTAAGCCATTCTAAGACACTATAAAAGGAAAAAGAATCATGATGATGATATTTACAAGCCTTTTTATGCGATGTATTTTGAGACAAAACATTAGAAAATGAATGTTAGAAAAATAATAAAATTCTGATGAATGTGTAAGTAGCCTTTGTTGATTCAAAATATTTTCAGAAATTTTATAAACTTTCATTAATTCAGACATTTATTTTCTTATGTTTTGTTTCAAAGTTGAATTCACTGGATTCATACTTGGTAATGCCATCAATTGGTAAGAATTCCAAGTCAAACGGTGATACTGACTGGTGGCTTTAAAATGGTATTAAAAAAAGGTTTCTTTGCATAAATTATAATTATTTCGACATAATTCATCAATCTGAATCAAAGAAAATCATTATTGAAGATTTTATAGCTAGAATAAATTTTTTCAAATAATAGCTATTGATAAATAAAGACAAAATGATTCTACATAGATATATATATTGATTTAAATTATTATTTATTTGCTTATTTAATGCTTAAATGAAATCTACTTGAAAACAGAAACTAAATATTCCATCTTATAAATAATATTTTCTGCTTTTGTTTTACAGCCTAGTAATGATCAAAGTCCATTTGCTGCTCTTGTTCAACGTCTTGTCGAAAGTAATGAACAAATACGAGCACAAGCAGCCAAAGTAATTAAATATTTTCTAATATGATCATTTATAATAATTTTTAATTTTTTTTTATTAGATTAATCGTCTTGTATCACATGAAGATGATATGAATTATTCATTAACTCTTGATACTGATACAATATCCTCGATTGAATTAACTATTCGACATTTAGATCGTTTAGCTAAAACATTTGGTGAGATATGTTCTGATTTAACAACTCAAATTTTATTACTTGCTGGTAATATTCATTATTTTGTATCAAAGGATATATTTTTCATTTATTATTAAGATGCTAATGAACGTATAAGTGTACAAGATATTGAAAGTATTGCATATCAGGCATGTGATAAAGTTTATAAAAAAGAAGATAGTGGTCCATATGATAGTCTTTGGTAAATAAACAAAAAATTTTGATCTTTTTTCATACATTTAATCATATACTTTATAAAGGGATTCTATGCATGAAACTGTTTCAACATTAAAAACAATTAGTGATTCACTTGAACATGGTTTATTTGATTCAAATGAACCAAATGAAAAAGTAAATTAAAAGAAAAATAAACAAATAGAAAACAACATTATAATTATTGATTTGTTTCTTGTTTTTAGCCTAAACAAGCAATTTATTTAATTGCTGAACAATTAAAAGCATCAATGAATGAAGCAGATTTAATTCGTAGGCGCTTAGAATTAAAAGAAGAAGAATTAATTGATCTTAAAAAAATGTTTAAATTAAAACATGATGAATTAAGTGAATTAAATATACGTTTATCATTGAATGAGAAAAGAGTTGAAAGTTTACAAAAAGAATCTGATGAAAAAGCTAATAAACTTAAACAAGTTTTAGAAGAAGCTCGAATTGATGCTGAAAAAAAAATCAAGTAAGCTAAATATTCAATATCAAAATTGTATAATGTCATACACGCTGAAGAATCATTTCATAAAAGGTCTAACATAATATGACACTTCAGAATTCGAACGAATGTGAAATCTTTTTGGACTATATTACACTTATGGATATTGGTCTCTTCTCATTTTAATTGTTCTTATTTTTTTTAAATGATTACGACCGACATTAAAATGATACTAGTTGGCCCCGATATTTTGTGTCAATAGTCAATAGACACTTAAGGGTATCTAGTGCAATTCTGAAATGAAAATAATATTCCTGGGGTGAATTTTGCAATTTTCTTGAAAGAGGGTTTCAAATATCAAAAGTGACATTGGATCGTAAAAAAGCTGTGTTTAAGAAACTATTAATAGATAACAATTTAATGGCATATTATATGTTGAGAAATGTAAAGACTATACTGTGATAAAAAGAAAAAGTTTTCATCTATCTTCAATCAAAAGTTATTAACATTTTATGGTCTAGGAAGTTAAATATTTATATCTCATAAATCATCTAGGAAAAGAGACTTACACTTATCAAGTGAGCAGCATTCGCAATTAATAATCATCACAAACAATTTTTGATTTCCTTATCTATCAGAGTCGAAAAATAATACTCGATTGGTTAACATCTATAGGTGTATAAAGTCAATTAGAGATAGAATAAATGAACATGACCAAAAAGTCTTTGAATGTTTATTGAAAATAATTGTGGTTCTATTTCTGTGTAACAAAAAGATTTAAACAGACTATTGAAATATGAAGGTAGAAATCCTAACACCCGCAGACGTTGTTCATATGTGAACAATTTTTTTATTGCATTTCTGGAGAATTGAATAAAAGGATGATGAAAAAAAAAACAATCTTCCTGTGCAGCTAGATCGTATTACACAATTTAATTCCATAAAGATTGCACTAATAGATATTTTTTCCTATTACCAAAACCAGGAAAATATTTGCGAAACGAATAAGTGATCGTTTTTTATTTAAACTTGGTAGTATTGAATGCAAATATTTTGTTGAATTTTTGAAAATTATTTTTTGAAGTTTTTGTCTAAATAAAAGATATTACATTTGGAAGATGAGAAATTTTTATGGTATATTGTTTTTGAAATTAGAAAGATTATGTTGAAAAGTAAAACATGAAATTCTTAACGTTTGATCAAATATAAAATAAACTTGGATATTAACAGTAATGAGAGAAGCATGAAATATTTTTTCAAAATTTTTACTTAAATTTATCGATTATTTGTTCGTATAGGTATATTGCAAGATTATCCTATTGTAACACTATTACAGCAATAATAGAAAAAATAAAATTTTTGTAAATACTAATAACATTTTCATATTTTCGAAAAGTTTAGAAGTGACTTTTTTATACTAAGATGATGGATTATTTCATATAGTTTACTTATATTTATATAGACAATGCGAAGATGCTATAGCTGTATTACAAAATGATAATGAACAACTTGAACAAGAAAAAAGTGCATTAAAAGAGCGTCTTAAACAATTAACAAAAACCAAACTTGTTGATGATCTTATACAGAAAAAAGTTGGTGCAACACAAAGAACATCTGGTCTACTAAGTAATTAATTATAATTTCTTTTTCTATTTCATTATCAAACTTCTTCTTAATTAAGGTCCAACAACTGATGGTGGAATTTCTCCACAACGACAATTATCATCATCATATAGCAATGAAGGAATGATCGGATCAACAGTCAACGAACAAGAAGTACTATTTTTGTTTATTGAATGTCAAATAGATTCTATCTATCTGTCTATTTATATTTGTTATAGATAATAGCACTTCGAAATACGATTCGTTTATTAAAAGATGAATTATGGCAATTAAAAATAACGCGTACATCAAATGAATTATCGAAACTTCAAATACCATTAAAAGATAATAAAACTAATGAAATAGCTGATATTTATAAAAGTTCAACATTACTTTTAAATGTATGTTTAATTGATAATAGAATTTGAAAGCATAAGTTAAAATGTTTGTTCGTTTTTCACATTTTCGTAGGATTTATTTACCACAATTGCTAATTATAAGATAACAGGAGAAAATGTTGCTGTTAAACAAGAATTAATACGTTCAAAAATGAAATTAGTTGATCAAACAGCATTTAATGTAAAAACATGTTTTTATTGTTTGTTTTTCTTTCAATAATTATTAATGTGCTTTTTTTAGCTTAATCATCGTCTAAATCAATGTCAAAGTAATATTCTTCCTGGTTCAATAATACAAACAACTATGAAAACATTTTCAAATCCACAGTTTTCTAAAGTTAGTATTCAAAAGAACAAAGACAAAAACTAAATTTGTATTTCTTCTAATCTTTTAGTCTCTTACACAAGATCGACAATTAGCAGCAGAAATTCATTTACCTGGTGTTAATACTGGTGGTGAATTAGATATAACTCAAGAACAATATCGTACTATTTTGCATGAAGTTATTGGTTGTAATTAATTCTATTAGTATTCTTTAAGTGACATCTTTTTTTTCTTTTCATAAAAATATTTTCCTTTGACAGCATAAGTGTAAAAAAACAAACTTCTCAAGTTTTTATAAATATTTATTTTTTCTTCTTCTTTTTCTTTCCTTTTTTCTTTGTTTTGGTTTCAGGTGGTTGCGTAAACTTAAGAAAAAATTCTAAATAAAAATAAAATAAAATAAATATTTAAAGAACAAAATGAGAATTTTTTTCTTATTTTTCATACCATTATAATCAAATAGACCAAGTTCATTTATATTAATACTTTCTTTAAATGCATTAGCTTCGATTTCATCTAATTTTTCTCCAACATTTGTTAAACTTTTTAAAATTTCATCAACTTCTAGTAAACCACGTTTTTCTGTATCGAATACTTGAAATGCAGGAATGATATCTTTATCGGTAACACTTGTTGGAATACTTAAAACAGCACGAACATAATCAGGAAATTTTAACTGATCAGTTTCTTAAGAAAAGGAAGAAAAAACATGAATTAGATATTGAAATCTTTGTATTTTTATTCGATACTTTGTGAATCAACTTCATTTATTGCTCGTTGAACATCACTTTCAATTGGATTGAAACCGATTGTACGAAGAATATTTCCGAGTAAACTGGCTTTAATAAAACCTTCATTTTTCGTATCATATGTATCAAATATATCTTTCATTCCTAAATCGTTTATTCATAATTTATGTCTTTTTTTTTCTAGTATTATTGAAGTGAGTTCTTAAAATGTTATTTAAAATGCATTATATCAAGTGTACTTTATGTACGTTTTTCATATCGATATTATCATGAAAATATTTAAAATACATAACAG